TTAAAAATATCTAACAATAAAACATTAAAACATTAAAACATCGTTTTCAAACTTTTAACATCAATAAAATGAGCTTTCATCATCAGATCCTTCGTCCTCATGATGAAGATCTGGTTTCAGTGGATCTCTTGGGGTCCTGCAGTCACCATGGAGCAAAACCTCGAGGAGGAACATCTAGTCTGAGGTGATCCAGTCCATGAAGCATCAGGACCACCTGGCACCATGTGGCAAAGGGTTTAGATCGGACCAGATCCAGGCTGAGTGTGGGACCCTGTGATTGACAGCTGTCAGCAGCTTTTCTTCTTCTCACAGAACAGAGCGGGCTCTGTGAGGAGGAGGAGGAGGAGGAGGAGGAGGAGCAGGACTCCACACGGCCTCAGGTCTTTGTGTGAGTGCCAGGAGGTGTCGGAGCCTCTGCCTGTGTGTGGTTTCCTCCTCGCTCCGCTCTTATTTGTCTGCTGCAGTTGTTCCCACCAGCTCTGGTGAATAGACGCTCCTTTCAGCCTCTGCAGGACGCCTAATGAGGACGGGGGGGGGGGGGGGGGGCGTAATGTCTCAGTGTGTGTCGGTCCTTCAGGCGTCCTCAACTGTCTTCTCAGACTAATGAAATCAGTCATTTTGTCTGAAACACTGCGAACCTGAAACACTCTGCAGTTAACTTCAGGTTTTAAAAACAAGTTTTTACAGATTTATAAAACCTGTAAAGGTGTTTTTCACCTTTTTATTTGGCTGCTTCACTCATGTCGACACGTTATAAACTGTCCCAGATGGAGCCGCAGCTTCAGATTGAAGCTAAATGTTGGAGCAGACTGTAAATCTGTGGTCCTGCTCACCTCTGGGTCCCTGCAGACCGATGGAATCTGAGTGGAGACTGATGGACTCGGTCCAACATGTGGACCTGGCTGTTGTTGCAGTTTGTCAGGACGGACTGCTGAACATCAGATTATTTCATCTGCTTCTGAAAAGGAGGAGAATCAAAGACTGGGATTAGATTCCTGATATTTCTGTTGTTTAAAGTTTGTTTACCATCAAAGTTAAAAAATGGAGCTCTAAGTTCGTCCATTAAACTCCAACAGGTCTCATTATTTCTACACGGTTAGCTTTTCCACAGCCAGGTTCAGTATGGGATCAATCTTGTGCCAACAGTAATTAAATTAGAATTGTTCAGATTGAATCTGAATGTTCATAATTTGAAATTTAATTCATTGGTTTGAAAATGAATTTTACTAAATTGAAACTGAATTTAAAGTTTTGAATTTGACCTATATGTAGAAAATGTTACATTTACATGATGACATCATGGATCAGTCAGCAGCAGCATCTGATCAATATGTGATCCATGATGTCATCATGTAAATGTAACATTTTCTACATATAGGTCAAATTAATCACTGCAATAAAATAACTGTGTCTGTTTTTGTCACTTTTACAGTGGATTGCATCAACTCTGTTACATCCAGAAGGGAAACTTCACCAAAGTGAAACATAAATCTGTGGATCTGTGTTTGATTACTCTGCCTGGCTTTCTCAAGGACCAGGATGTGACACAAAAATCTGAATTATGGAACTGAAAGTGAAAGTAGTCAAACTGAATTTTTAATAAACCAAAATACAGTTTCAAAGCAAATTAATTCAAATACAAAACTTTAAATTCAGTTTCAATTTAGTGAAATTTATTTTCAAACCAATGAATTCAATTTCAAATTATGAACATTCAGGTTCACTCTGAGTGATTCTAATTCAGTTCCTGCTGACACAAAGTTTATCCTATAGTCCAGGTCCAGTAATAAAACTGATTTATTGCCTCGTTAATGAGGAAGCTCCGCCCCCTGTCAGGCTCCCGTTTAGCTCCTGACAGATGTTTACTTTCTGTAAAAGCGCAGCAGCAGGTTGTGTGGAGTTTGTCGCCCCTTTATGCTCCGCCCCTCACCCTGAACCTCGCGGGCCGAGACAAAACCCGCAGCCATCAGTCTGAGCGGACAGCAGCCGTACGTGTCCCACGCTGCTGCACATGAGTGATGGTGAGCGCGCACAAAAGGCAAGACGAGCTTCCATTCATGCGTTCAGACACACAACTTCTGTCACTTCACAAACAGCTTTCAGAAACAACAAAAACCTTAAAAGCTCTCAGAGGTCCTGGAGTTCCCCTGAGCTGAGGCCTCATTAACTCCTCCTGTGGAACAACGAGCACACCTGCAGCTCTGAGCCTTCAGGTACGAGACCATGTGGAGTCAGGGGACAGAAAGGTCCTGAAAGGATGCTCAGAGGTCCTGTTGGACCCACCGTCTCCTCCGCTCTGTCGGCTGCCAGCAGGAGGGATCCTGTCTGAAAGAAGCCGACTGGACAAAAAAAAAAAACTTCAGGAGCTGAAATCCCCAAACAGCGAGTCCAAAGAAGCCAAAACCCAAAGATCTACAGAACTTAAGTGATGTCATTCTGGTTCTGGGTCAAACGTCTTCTGTCGAGCTGCAGCAAAGCTTTCTGTGCACGCCTCACTGGATCAGTCAGTTCTGCAGAACCGTGTTTCATCAGACCATCAGCTGATCATAGGGGAGACCGGGGACAGTTGCAACACTTTTTACATTTGACTCTGTTACTCAGAGATGGTTCAGTTTTAAAATTATGTTTTAGTTTTAAAGTTATTTTTCAGTTTTAAAATTATTTTTCAGTTTCAAAACTTCTTATTTTGAACCAAAGTTTTGAGCCCAGTTTAGCTCCATACTTCTGGTGGTAGCAGACGGTTCTTCATCCTCCAGAGGAGGAAGATGAGGACGGCAGCTGTAGTCTGGGATTAGTCGGAGCAGCTCTGAGGATTAAATAAATCTCTGTCCTGTCAGGTTTGAACAGTTTCACTGTGATCAGTTTGAACTAAAGCGTCGACAGTCTCCTCAGATTTATTTAGAAAAACACAGAAACACGACGATTAGAGCTCAGCCATTTATTTCACATCATTTAAAACAAACATCTGGTTTCTTTCTGGATCATTTTCCACTTGTCACGTCTCAAATATATATATATACAAAAAGAAGTAAAATCTAGTATAAAAGCGAACGCAGAGATCAGAGCGGGGGCGTAAAGCTGACTGAATTAAAGCGTAAAAAACAAACCGAGCTGCTTCTCCAGGTGCAGCCCGACAAGAACAGGTCAGTTAAAAACTTCCCATCGCTCACGTTTCTGTCCAGGATTCAAGAATCTGCTTTTGTTTTTCCTGCAGAGGCTGACGTCTCCCTGAGGCCACGTCTCACTTCTGAAACCACCACCAGCTTTGGAAACAGAACCAGGCTTTTTCCAGTCGAGTGCAAATCAATCAGAAGCAAACTGAAGTGAAAATGAGCTCATCAGGTTCTGTTCAGAAACATCCAGCAGCGTGTTTCTGTTTATTCAGACAGATTTTATTTCAAATAATTGTGTTTGTGGGTTTGACCCAACAGAACTCCCTCCTGGGAGTTAAAACTGTGAAATATTCAGCTGACAGGAAGCAGAAAGCAGAGCTGAAGCTGATCAGATTTGGTATTTTTATGGAGAAAGTCCTGAAAGAGACATGAAAGAGGGCAGATATGTTGGATTAATGTTCAAGGAGCTGCAGATAAAACCGTTTTTATTGCCTTCAGCAGGATCAGATGTTTGTCAGGGAGAAGCTGTAAAACTCAACCTGAGGATGAAACAGAGACGGGCCGATCAGAACCAGAACTGATAAAGAGGATTAAATCAGGAGGGGTTACAGATAAACAGCAGAAAACAGGAGGAGGAGCAGCAGGGAGGAGAAGTGTCAGACAGTAAAACAAGGTCCCTGAACGCACCGTCACCTTTTCACCGTTTCACCGTTTCACCTCATCCTCCTGGAAATAAAATAAAATAAAGTTATGTTTCAGGAGGCAGACAGAACAACCTTTTTCTTTTTTAATGAAAAATCCTGATTAGTGTCAGACAAGTGCAAACTGATTAAAATCATCTAAACTCACTTTTTTTACCTGCATTTATCTGACAGTTTGAGAACTCTGATTCAAGTTAAAGTCAGGAAGTGCTAACCCTAACCCTAACCCTAACCGTATATGTAAACTAATAAGTGCATATGAGTGTGTGTGTAGCTGGATGAATGTAGTCACCATAAATGTGTGTGTGTGTAGTGTATGTGTGTGTGTGTGTGTGTGTGTGTGTGTGTGTGT